GCTAAAAAAAATTACCAATTTTCATTTTTTTGTCTTTATAAGTCATTGGTGTTGACCATTTCCATTAAGGTCTGATTTCTAATTCAGCAATCAAATACATCAAATTTTGTTGAAAAATCAATTTTCATGGACTCCTTTGCCGAACATTCAAGTTTTTCTTTGTAATCTTTACTTTAAAGGCTGTAGTTTAGTTGCGTTTCTATCTTTTGGCAATATTAGAAATATTCTACATTTTTTTTTCTGTTTATATTCGCAACTCCAGCTTTTTCAAACAATTTAACGCATTTCACTTGTTTATTCTTCTTCTATCTTTTTGCATAACATTTTCTGACTTATTCAAAATCTATTTTTTTTTGTTTTGAATTTCTTATTGCTCTATGATCTCTATTCGGCTTTTATCCTGATTATTTTATTACTTCGTTCTTTATGATAAAACAGATATTCGAAGCTGAAATTTATATCATATATTGATAATATAAATATAACTATATACCAAAGTTCTGCCAAAATTGATTGGTTGATACAGATTTTACTATGACAATACTAACTTGGATAATAATATCTGAGGTTTTTTTGTAGCGATACATATTCAAGTGATAAAGAAGAGACACCTGTCGTATTTGAAATCCAGATATATTTGAACGCCGTGTACGAAGCCCGTATTTAGGTTTTAAACATTTCGGCCCATTGGCTATATCACTGCTCCAATACACCGTTCATCTACTTTTTTATCATTTTCTCTTAAACTTAATATTTCCGCCTGACGCAAAAACTGATTAACCCATGAATGTTCACTCTAAAACGCGGTATTAATTATAAAATGTAACTAAAATATGGCATTAATTATAGGCTATAAAAAAAAAAAAAAATCAGGTGTTAATTATAGGCTATAAAAATCCAATTAAGAATCCGGTTATAATTATAGGTTTTTACCTATAACTAATTAATGCCCATTCCTAAATATAATGGTTGGCATTAACTGGATAAAATATGCACCATATTTTTGGGTTTTTTTTTGTTTGGTTTGCAACGTTTAACTGAAAAATTGAACATGTTTTGGTAATTGAATGTCATTAAGAAAAATGATTGTCAATGGTCAAGTTGTTTGCAGAATGAAGTGACTATATACATAATATAAAACATCGCTAATGATTTGAGTATAATTATTGCCAATGATTTATAGGATGCTACTATAAATCAGGAAGACTTAGAGTGAAAGTAATTAGATATGACTATACGACTTACTAATAGAATGGGGCTACTGTACGTATAATTTTAAGTTGTGTATAATAGTTACTCCTTCCTAATGTTTGTATAAATGCCGTAGACTATTAAATGTATTGTGTTCTTTTTTTATAGGTAAGTATGAATAAACAAATCTACTAGAATATAGCTTAAAACTTTTTTGTTTGTCTACTCCTGTAGCATTTTTTATATTCGTAATATACTTGACTTGTAAATTTTTTTTTTTTTTCGTTCCAGAAAATATCTGGTGAAAAATAGCAGAGCCAGGGTATGAATCATATGTTCACTATGGATTCACAAGGCAAAGTCTACCTCAAAGAAAAACTTGATTACGATAGAGGATTACGCTTTTTTTATTTGGAAATAGAAATTGAGGTAAGTTTCTTTTTTAATTCTCTAATGTTTCTACCAGTTATTTTTTAACCATGAATAGACAAGTAAAATGTATCTTTATATGTTTAATACCTGTACCTTCACGATTCCGTTTCTTTTATTACCTGTGAACTTTTAATGTCCCAAAGACGAAAACTGCTCTAAATTACTCCAGCACTGAGAACCCTTTCTGCCTCCTATCAGACTGACTGCTGCCCAACACCATGAGAGCGCCTCTCTGCGCCTGCTTGGTCGCCCGCTGACTTGAGGTGGAACAAATACACTGAATCAATAGCTTCATCTACCGCAAGGATATTTGGTTGCGTCGCGCCAGAAAGTTTTTTCTCGTCTGAGTCCATCCTTCAAATCTATAAATCAACCATTTAGTCCTTGCATGGGATACTGCTGCATATATATGGTCTGGTGCCCCCGATGTTCGTTTCGAGGTCCTCGTATATGCATTGTGATGGGTCCTGATTTGGCATCTCGTCTACAGTCACTTTCTCACAGACGTGCCATGGCTTCCTTCTGTCTTTTCTACAAGGTAACTGTTTCGACGAGCTACTTTTCTGGTTCTCAAACTACATTAATTTAAGCGTGCTACTAGGTTGTCATCTCAGTCCCACCCTTTCACTGTCGAAACGATTGAATGTAACTGTCTTTTCTATTCAACAACTTCTTATCTCGCACTTAACGTTTGTGGGACTCCCTTCCTCTTACTTGCTTCCCTGATAGCTATAATCTTAAAATATTTAAATGTAATGTCAATCGTTATCTTCTGATGCCTTAATTATGTTCCCCATACTTCTTTATCTTTTCCACAAACATCCTCTTTACTATAGCTCTCACTCTCTGTAACTCCTTGCATGCTAGTGGCCCTCCC